GGGAGATTTGTGGAGTACCGGGGAATATCCCTCGTATCGTCGGACGTCGGTACCCTAAATCCAAATCAGATCAAAGAAGAGCTTCTCGTCCTTTCATGCCGGTGCGGCAGGAGAGATTTGGCTTGGCAGCGTTCTGTCAGTGTAATTGGGCTCGATAACGAGCTGACAAGTACCCGTTTGCACGAAAATGCGGCGGACCGCGTGTCTAGCAGCATTTCGGTGATTGTCATTGACCGAAGGGAATTACAACTCAGGCAGACGGTAGAGAATTACAACTCAGGCAGACGGTAGAGGCTGATAGAGCCCATTTATGCGATATTGTCACCGTTGAGTTTTGTCGTGGGTGAGAGGAAAAAGACCGGATGAGGTAAGCGCCAAGACTTTCGGCTTGCGTCGGCAACTGCCGGCCGAGAGTCTCGCCTCGAGTTCATTGTTCACAACAACCATTGACCATAGGCTACAAGACGAGAGTCGAACATCTGGGGGCCAATTTGTCTTGTATATCTTATCAAGAAACTTTGGGTGGCCCTTCAGGTCTTGTTCTTAAATCCGCTGCCCGACGCGGCTCCTCGCGCGACTCAAGTCTTTATCATCTTGTTCTCCAAGGATAGCAAACATTTCATGACCACTCCACAACTTTGCCACGCTTCCGGATGCTGCGAAACCGACTCGACACTATCCTTATACCACAATTGCACTCAGAGAGAGTACAGGGGTTGCGGGATATGTTGAACACCTGATAGAGGAGTCGAGCATCAGGCACTACTTGGCGTCTCAATGGCAATTAAGCGTCGACACTTAGGAGTGGCCCGAACGTCAAGCTCTTTCCCGCCTTGCCGTCCTCCCCCATACTGACGTTCTCCGATGCTGCGTCTGTTCTCTATCTCTACCCTCCTCGTTGCGGTCCTCGCAGTGGACGCGGCAGTGCCGCGTGTGAGCACGAACCCGTGCGCCCTCGGCGCACTTGTGTACACCCGGAGTAGCGTGCGTATTTGGTCCCTGAATAGCTCGTCGCACAACCCTGATTACCGAGGTTACGTTGCAGAAATGCGAGTGCCGGCGGCACAACGGGGCGATGGTTTGTCTTCTTACCCGGCGGCTGGCCTGAATAATCATCCCTTTGCGCAGGGGAGCTTCCGGGCTGGGTGCAGCGCGACGCCCGGCATGGGTGTGTGTGTGGTGGGTCGTCCACGTGTTCAGCCTCCGCGGTCGACGCTAACTCAGCGGCACACGGACGACAGACGACCTGTAACGAAGACGAAAATGAGCAGAACTCGCTCGGGGCGGAAGCGGCGCAGGTGGTATGTCTGTTCAGTCTTCTTTGTTAACACACAGGAGATAATAAATATTTGACCCGCAGTGTCCTGCTGGCACGCGTGCCTGCCCTGTCGGCAAGCTCGAGTTCGAGTGCGTGAGTCCGGATGTGGATATCGACAACTGTGGTGGCTGCGCATCGACGGGGGAGGGCGTCGCCTGCGGGGACTACCCCGGCGTGCGCGGTGCCGCGTGCGTAGATGGGACGTGCGACGTCTGTGCGTCTTTCCCTCTTTCCGCGTCCTCGTCCCCATTCCTCTCAATTCTAACTGACATCGCCAGATTCGTGCCACCCCGGGTACTCACTCGCACAGGGCGAGTGCGTGCGGCGCTCCGGACGGAAACGGGAAAAGGCAACGTCGACGCTATGAGGGCCGTTCTCTCCGCTTGTGCATGGTCTGGAGGACACTTTGGGTTTCAGCTGCTCCGATTTATATTCACATCTCATCTCATCTCGGGCACTACATCACACACGCACTTGACGTCTACTATACCTACTAGGGATGCTGTCTACTATCATTACCATTACATTCGTTTACATCGTGTCGCTCGCTATTGTATGTAGGAAGGATTAAACTATTATATTCATGTATTGTTGGACTAAATACTGGCAGGTCGAGTGTTCATCCCTGCCCGCAGAAGAATTTGAACCTGACAGGTTACAGGATTTTTTTGGGACCTTTCGCGGTAAGAGCTCAAGATATAGCCATGATGCAGGAACTCAACCAGCGATCACTGCCATCAACTGCCATCACATCAACAAACCCGCGTGGCGTCATCAGTGCCACTGTTCTCTTTCACGTTGTCGCCACTCACTCATACCCTTCCTCAATGACCTCTTGGCTGGCTACGGGTGAAAAGCTCTCGCCCGTCTTTCCACCCGAGCTGGAACGGGAGATCTTTGAAACAACTGCAGAACGGTATCCCGAAACCATCTACAAACCGTGTCTTCTCCTCGTCGCAAAGCGTGTGCACGAATGGTGAGTCTGCCAGTGGACACTCCGTAGACAGACGACTAAGCTAGTGCAGGATCGAATGGATCAAATACCGAACCATCACTTCCGCTGAACCCACCCAAGCATGCCCACTCCGCCTCCTCCGAAACGCCCTCTACTCCAACTTGAAACCAGCCGATTTCTTCCATAATCGCGTTCGGCATTTGGCAATTGACGAAGCTGACGTCCCTGTGGGTGAAGCACAATTGATTCTATCCGCCTGCAGCGGAATTCGGTCCCTCGAGCTGAGTTACTCCCCGGGGCCATCAATATTACCCAGTCTTGAGATCATGAAGCCACGACGGCTATCTGTCAGTCTGGAAGAGCTCTTCAACGGCATTGATGCCATAGAATTGTTGCACCCGGTGTTCAGTTTCGTCACTCATCTCGAAGCAATCGACTCGGCTTCGTATTTCGAATCCAACGACTTTCCGTGGGGACATTTCGCCGTGCTACCAGCCCTCACGCATTTATCGTTTATCAAAAATAAGCAGTCTACTGCTATGAAGATTCTGGCAAACTGCCCGAAACTCGAGGTTCTGGTTTCAGTGGGGTACTTCGATGACACGCAGGAATTATCGTGTAATGATGCCCGCCTTGTGTGCGTGGAACTGAAATACGATGGATGGTTGGACGACTGGCTTGCTGGAACGAAGGGTGATGTGGACTTCTGGGTCCGCGCGGAGCGGTTCGTCGCCAAAAAGCGACGCGGGGAAATCCAGCCCAGTGTGTCATTCTCGTCGCCTCTGATGCTCATTCTCAGACACCGTGCACCTAGGCTCGCGGTGTTGGATTGAAGACGGAGATGGGATCTGAGCAGATTTGAGCTGCATTCCTCGCTGTCCTCTACTTATCCTACCCTGCCTTCAGCACCGGTCGCGCGTTATGTGTTTGGCGCTATGAAGTACTAACCTTTCAATCTGTTAATGCTGAAACTGAGTCTACTTACGCCGCCCGAAGTGGTCCGCAGAGGTGGCCCCTTTACAGAGGGAAACCTATTGAGATTAAATCTCCACCACGGCTCCAGTCTGGAGTCTCCTCCGTGATTCGGATTGTATGCAAAGTTTTGGCGTATGCGATTTGCAAGGCATCCTCCCCATGCAGGATGCGACACTGTATTAGCCCGTGCGACTCTGACTTGGGGAAAATTAGTTTTACTCGCAAAAATCAGTTACTGCTGGAAATTTATTTCCATTCCCATTCCTGCTGGACTGTTCCCTGATTTGTCTTTTCTTCCTCTCTGAGTCTAAGATCTATGAAACGGTGTGCATGTGACCGTGACTCGCTTACATAACACCCCTTCGCACTCACCCCTGTGACTTTCGCCACGCTTTGAATATGAATGACTCGCCGGTCTTTCCCCCCGAACTGGAACGGGAGATCTTTGAAACAACTGCAGAACTGTATCCCGAAACCATCTACAAGCCGTGTCTGCTACTCGTCGCAAAGCGTGTCAACGAGTGGTGAGCACTAAGCCTAGAGACCACACACCGCAGACGGGCCTCTTGACTAGTAACAGGATAGAGAGGATCAAATACCGAGCCGTCACTTCCGCTGAACCCACCCGCGCATGCCCACTCCGCCTCCTTCAAAAAGTACTAAGCTCGAACAGCAAACCAGCTGAATTCTTCCACGACCGCGTTCGGCGCTTGTTTATTGGCCCCGCCGTCCCTGAAGAGGAATTACCACCAATACTCTCCGCGTGCACAGGTGTTCGGTCCCTTGCGCTGCTGAACTTTCCAGGGCTCTTAATACTGCAAAGTCTTGCGGTCATACAGCCGCGCCGACTGGTCACCAATGGCGCAAGGTCAGAATCAGTCGACCTAGCCCATCCCGCATTCACCTGCGTTACACATCTCCAATCTATTATCAATTATTCGTTGTCCAAAGACTTGCCCGGGGCGGACTTTGCGCTGCTCCCCGCCCTCACGCATCTGGCGTTGTGGCAACTGAGCGAGGATAGTGCGACAGGGCTACTCTCGAACTGTGCGAAACTCGAGGTTCTGGTGGACATGCGCGGGGCCATGGCCAGGGAGAACCTTCCATCCATCGACGACGCGCGCTTTTTATACGCGTCGACATCCCACGACGATGTCTTGGACTGGGTTATCGGCACGAGGGATGGGGTAGACTTCTGGGTCCGCGCGGAGCGGTTCGTCGCCAAGAGGCGTCGCGGCGAAATCAAGCCCAGTCTGTCATCCTTTGACTTCCTATGCCAATTCTAATGCATAGACCTAGGTTCGCGGTGCTGGATCGAAGACGGAGATGGGATTTGAACTGCATTCCTTATGACAGGGCAGCTCATTCCTGGTACGATTTAGTTCGCACGTCAAGTTTTGTTTCGAAACTCACCCGAAAGGGTCCGTGGAAACGGCCTTTCTTTCAATAAATCCTTGCCCTCTTTAGCGTGACTTTTCAGCGGTATATGACATACAGTAAATCGCAAATATCGTCTGCCAGTACTATAGCTTTATTTGGAGCATGGCTAAGCCGGGAATGCATCGCCGACCAAAGCCTCCTTCAAGTATCAAGCGTATCATTCGGCGGATATGTAAGTCAAGGATCTCAGAACGTTTCAACTCAATGAAGGCACGTCTGTATCTCGCCGAGCGAGTTGCCGCATCATGTCCTTCAGAACAAGTGCCCGGTACTCAGTGCCCATACGGTCCCCGGAATATGCGATATGCTGTGGCCACCATGGGCAAGTGGTTAAATCACCCGCCAACGATAAATTTCAGTGGCGGGAGGCCCGGGGTTCGATTCCCTGAGGTGGCCACATCCGAGCCGGGCCCGGGGCGGGATTAAACCCCATGTCACAAGAAGTTGAGCGCTCGCGAAGAAACTACAGTTGCACTCTCGGGCGCAAAGGCTGGGTTTCACACTATGTTTTTCTTTCTTTTGTTCTCGATTTTTCGCAACTCAAGTGCGACTCGATTTGTTACCGTCCGTAACCTGCCATTTTGTAATCAAGGTTTCCGGGAACTTCTGAACATTGGGGATATGATGCATAATGGTTGTACATCACAGAGTGAGTGGTCGGTCAAAGCGTCGGCTCCTCGATATAGGACAGTTCCAATGCGTTGATGGGTGGCGATCTTGATGGTTTTGGAGATCGCCGGATCGCGCCGAACGGGAAAATAACATGATTTTCGGGTGTACACAGTGTACATATGTACTGCATCCACATATAAGTTAAGTACACGGCTACACGCGCCATACAACACAACCCCAGCTAGACACGTCGTTTTTTGTTTGATACAAGCTCGTCTTGCCTCCATTCGGTATTTGCCCCAGCTCACCGCACGCCATCGGGATCCAAATCCGTCGCGAACCGGCCTTCCGAGTATCCCGGGCTCGTCGGCGCCCCGCCGACCACCTCGACCTTCCCCAGCCGCCCATAGTCAAAGTTCGCCTCCATCGGGCTGCCATCGTCGAGGAACGCCTGCGAGTCGCGCTCGTACGCGCTGATATAGTCAAACGAGTCTTCCTCCGACGGCTCTTGCTGTTGCCGGGGTGCTGCCGGCGGTTGGGGCTGGTCCCGCAGCGCCGATCCCGCGCGCTGCTGCGGGTACGGACTCGCCGGCAGCCGCTTCTTGAACGCCAACGGGCTCGTGTCGGCGACATCGCCCGATGCGGTCTTCTGCGGGCGCCGGAACGCTGCGGCGGAGATCGTGCGCACGCCGGGGGGCACCTGCGAGTTGAGCGAGGACGTCGAGCGGCTTGCTATCGGCGCGCGGTACGGCTCGAGGCGCGGGGACGGAGATGTCGGGCTGTGCGGCCCGTCGGAGGGCGGCGCGGGAGTGATGGCCCAGGAGGGTGTGGTGTGGTGCCCGGGGACGAACGGAGCGGGCTGCACGGGCGCATCCCGCGGGTCCCGTGCGTCCCATGAGGGCGTACTTTGGTGGCCCGCCCCCGGGGGGAGGGACACGTTGTCGAGCGTGGCCTTGCGGGTGAAGGGCGCGGCGGGCGGGATCAACGGCGAGGGCTCGCGGTTCGGTGGTGGCGGTGCCGGAACGTATTGGGCCGACTGCTGCGACGCGTAGCTTTGAGGTAGCTCGGGTGTATACTCGCGGTTGGGAGGCGACGCCGCATAGTCGCGGTTGGGCGCCGGCGGGGCAGCGTACTGGCTCGGCGGCGAGGGCGCATAGTCGCGGCCAGTCGGCGGGGATCCATACTCGCGGTTCTCGCGACTCGGCGACGTCTTCGGCGACGTCTTGGGCGACGTCTGCGCGAACTCCCAACTAGGCTCGCTCTGCACCTGCACCTGTGGCGCCGGGGGCGGCGGCGGGCTGAAGGTCAGCGCATCGAGCTCGCGGCTGACCTCTCTTGCCGCCGCGGCGTTGAGCGCGCGCTCATCGTCTTCAGGATTCACCGACGGCGGGGGCACGCGCCGGCTTCGGCTGCTGGGCGAGGTCGAGTTCGTGGTCCCGAAGGAGTCCTCGCGCTTCATGTACGGCGGCTCTGCACATATCCGCGTCAGCGCAACACACAGATTTGGACAAAAGCCACTCACCCGCCGGCTCCGCAAAGACACTCTCCTCCCCGAAGCGCACATGCTTCGACAGCCGCGCCGCCCGGTCGCGCTCGGTCTCTCCCGGTGGCCCATCATCCATGCTCATGTACGCGAGGCCAATGTTCTCTGAGGTCGTCGACTGCCGGTCGCCCCCGCCCTCCTCGACCGTGAGCCCGGTGGGGCTGCGCGGTCCCGTTCCCGTCCCGGTCCCGCCGTTGTCGCCCACCCACACGCCGCCGAGGACGGGAGCCGCAGCACCAGGCGGGGGCCCCGGCGGCACCGGCCCCCCGCCCGCGTAGTCGTACACCTGCGAATGCGTCGTCGGCTCGTAGTCGCGGTACTCGGGCGCCGGCTCCTCCTCCTGTTGCTGCTGCCGCTCCCGCTCCCTTTCCCTCTCCTGCTGTTTCGACAAGAACTGCGAGCCGGGTTGTGAGAACTGAGATCCCGCTTGTGAGAACTGCGAGCCCTGGGACGCCGCCGCTGCCACGCCAACCCCTGCGCCCCCAGAAGAGCGGCCGCCAAACTCTCCCGCATCAAGTACCGCCGCCATAAAGTCACTCCCGCTCGTCTCCTTGCGCCCGGGCGACCCGACCGACGGCACCTGCTCGTCGCGCAGCGAGTACCCGCGTCCGCGCACGGGGAACGTCGCGAAGCGCCCGCCGCCCGGGCCCTCCCCGCCGACGCCAACGCCCGTGCTGCTCAGCCCCACGTCGGCGTCGTCGCGCGCCTCTGGGTCCGGCGGGGAAGCGTAAGTGCTCCCGGGCGCCGAAGCGCCGTACGAGGCCCCGGGAGCGGAGGCACCGTATGAGCCTCCTGGCGCCGACGTCCCGTATGAGCCTCCTGGCGCCGAAGCCCCGTATGAGCCCCCTGGCGCCGAAGCTCCATACGAGCCACCAGGCGCTGAGCCTCCATAAGAGCCTCCAGGTGTTGAAGCGCCATACGAGCCCCCAGGCGACGCCCCGTACCCCCCAGGCGCCGACGCCCCGTACCCGCTCTGCCCCTGCGACGCTGAGTATATCGACGACGCGTACCCCCCGCCCTGCGGCGTGCCCCCGTCCATCAGCCCCGCGCCAACGTCCGGCGGCGGCAGCGGCGGGAGGAAATTTGAGCCGGAGCCCTCGTACGGAGTCGTCCCGCCCATCCCTATGCTATTCCCACTGATACTCCCCATCCCCGTATTGTTCGTGCTGATGCTCCCCATGCCCGTGTTATTCACGCTGAGCCCGCCCATCCCCATTCCCGAGTTGGCGTCGAAGTCCGTGTTCAGCCGGGGCGGTGCGCCGGGCCCGCCGTTGGCGTTCGAGCCGGCCGGCAGCGGCGCGAAGACGATCTCGGCGACGGCGCGCTCCGCCTCCTGCACGCGCTGCTCCGTGCGCTGGTGGCCGAGGTACATCGCGCGCGAGAGGCCCGGCTGTGTCGTCTCCTCTGAGATTTCCTGTAGAGGTGTGTCAGCGTCAACACACGTTGATCTATGGGCAGAAGAAGGGCAAGGGAGGGAGGGACGGAGGACGAGCGAGGGCAAACGCCTTCGACCTTTGCTCGACCAGTCAATCCCCCTTCGTCTTCCGCTGTTTGTCCTCCGTCCTTCGGACTTGTCCATTCCTCAGTCCTCCCCCTTCATCCATCATCGGAAGAAAGACAAAGAGCTCGGGAAGAGGAAGTAGAAAGAAAGATAAACAAAAAAAAACCCACCGAAACAACCCCACGCCCACACTCCGCGACGACACACCCCTTCTCGCAGCACTCCATCAGCCCGCCAAACTTGAGCCCCATCAGCGCGCGCGCGCTCGTCCGTTTAAAGTCCCCCAGCGCCGCCTCCTCGTTCATGATCTCGCCTGGCCAAGGGCGTTAGCGTTCGCGTGTTACACGTAGAAAAGGGTAGGAGGAGGAAGGAGGAGGAAGGGAAGCAAGGTCAAGTAGGGGTGAGGAGAACGCGCCAGCCCGTGAGAACGAGGCAACGGAAGGGAGAGAATCATAACTGTCCATGCGTGCGACACCACAAAATCCAAGCACAGGAGCGGCTGGCAGCCACGACACGGAGTCCATCTCGTCCAAAGCGCCGAGGGCCCAACGGAGAAGGAGAGCCCACAAACACAAGCGCCGCCCGCCGCACGGAGAACAACGAAAGCGTTCGCAAACCCCACGCCACGCCGAAAGCCGTATACAGGACGAAGAGGAAAAGGGAGAAGCAGAACACACCATCCATCCCCCGTATCTGCGCCTGCATCTGCGCCAGCAAGTCTGTCTGCGCCGCGAGGTTCTTGTGCTCGGGCCCCATCTTGTTCAGCTTCTTCTCCGCGCTGTCCGCGCGCGCGAGCGCGGCCTTGCGCCGCCGCTTGAGCTCGTCGAGCGCCTCTTCGCGCGTGCGGATCGCTTTGAGGTGCTGGGGGCGGGGGTTAGTAAGAGTAAGAGTAAGAGGGAGGAGGGGGGAAGAGGAGAAGGGAAGAATGAGGTGAGAAGGGTAGATGCTGCGCTCCTCCCGCCGAAAGGAGAAGGCGGCGCACAAAACCGACAAAACCCCACAGAGACAGAGTCTGCGAAGTCCTTACGTCAGCCGCCCGACAGCGAGCTTTCCCTCACAGCGCGGGCGGTATCACAGTCATGTCTGTCAACGACGTGCATGACATGGACGAGGGCGATCCTCCGGCGGTAAGCTATACGCGTTGTACTCTTCGGCGCTGGAGGGCGATCTGCGCAGAGGGGGGACAGCAAGGGAGGGAAAACAAAGGAAGAACATAGCGAACGAGCGGGACGGACGACAGGGAATAGGAAGCGACGCGGCGAGAAAGACCCCGCAGGAATATTGCGCCCGCGAGCGGCACACGACCCCATAACCCTGCCATGCGCGCACAATCGTCACCGAGCTCGCTCGTTAGGCGGGTGCCAAGGGGAGGCGGCACATGAACACATAAATCGCTGTACCCGCGCAAGTGCCACAGTAGCTGCACACCTCGTCAAGTAGGCTCGAGTGCCAGATGGCACACGACGCGCATCCACCCGCCGTTCAAAGGAGCCACACCAAGGCGCATGCCTTTCCCCGTCGGACTCGGGAGCAGAACGTATCCTGTATCCCGGGGGACAACAAATAACACCGACGTATGGCCTACGCGCATACATCCGCCGATGGACCGGCCGCACCCAGACGCACGCCTCATGGTCATCCCCGTTGTGGAAAAAAAGTATCCCGCCGGCACACGACCACACGTAACACCGCCCCATGAGCGCCGGGACCCGACGGTAAGACCGCCACACGACCCCCGCA